CACACACACAGACACAGACACATGGACAGAGACACACACACACACAGACACACACACAGACACAGACACATGGACAGAGACACACACACACACAGACACAGACACAGACACATGGACAGAGACACACACACACAGACACACAGACACACACACACACCCTGCTCTTAGTGTCTATGGAGAGATCTGAACGTTTTGAAGTGTGGTTCAGGTTTTTTCATGTAAGGACGGAAACACAATACAGACGGAGAAATGAACAGTTTTCTCCGACTAGCTCGTAGCTCATCCATCGTGGCGTCAGGTGTGGTTTGTACACTGCAGCCTGGAGCCCACACACAGAGTTAACTACAATACACGAACATGAGTAAATGATGAAACTGACCGATATCCCGCTGATAGTTCTGGATTTCTTTCAGTCTGAGATGGACAGAACGTCATCTGAACTGTAGTTGAGAAATTCAGTTTCAGGTCTGTCGGGGTGGGGGGGGGGGGGTCATGCTCAGATGTCTTTAACTTACGTCATATATAACGGGAATAACCACATGGATACAACGCTTTTTGTTTTAAAATCAGTTATTTTGTTTTCTGTTTTTTTCAAAGTCGATGAGAAATCGTGTTGAATAATCACAATCTCAATATTCATCAAAATAATCATGATTATGATTTTGCCTTAATCGAGCAGCCTTAACAGGGATTATTATTATTGATATCATTATTATTATATATTATAAATATGAACCCATCTTATTTTGAAAATCCTGCTACAACTACACTTATGATTTAATCTGTTTCTTCTTCAGCTTCGGCCGTCTTCACCACCTCTCCTTCGTCCTGTAGCTTCGTCTCGATCCCACCTGTCACCTTCTTTTCATCATCAGCATCATCAGACAGCGGGGGCACACCAGCTCCTCTTCTTCCCTCCTGTTTCAGCAAGTCAGACCAGAGGAGGGGGAGGAGCAGGGCTCATGATGAGGAGGAGGAGGTGAGGGGGGGGAAGAGGAGGAAGAAGAACAGAGGAGAACAGGTTCATATTTTGCCGGAAAACAGAGAAGAAGATGAAGAAGAGGAGGATCCTGGGAGATTTATTGGGCGGATGGCTGTCTCTGTCAGAGGAGGAGGAGCAGAGGAGGAGGCGCCGCTCACTCTGCAAAATTTCAACCACAGGAAACACAGGCGGAGAGAGGAGGGAGGAGCCGGCCAATCAGAGAAGGCCATCAGTGTCGTCAGGCAGAATGGTTACAGAGCGCCCCTGCTACTACACAGGTGAGAGAGGGCAAGAGACACTGACAGCAAACCAGAGAGAGAGAGGCGTGACACATATTTATTGAAAATGTAAATGATCGTTAAAAATTTGAATTATAACCTAAATATAATAAGAATAATTATAATAACTCATAATTTCACTTATATATCAAATAAAAATACATTCCAATCAATGTAAAACACAATAATATTTATATTAATATAAAATGTGTTGACAGTAAATGACACTTTAAATAAATATAACAATATAAATCAATTTTTATTATACTAAGAATTTAAATCATCTTTTTATCCTCCCAGCATCTCCAGCTCCTCTTCCCATGATGCCTTGCACCTCCTCCAGTCAGCCCAGAGTGTTCGGACCTGCAGCCAATCAGTGGACTCTGTGTCTTGTCCAGAATCCCTCAGTGTCTTATCCGGCCAATGGTGTTTCTCTGATTTCACCCCTCCCCTCTCCCTTTCCTCAAATCACAGGGCTTTCCGCCTGTGGCTACGGTCCTCCTCCTCTTCATTTAGCCCCGCCCACATGCTACGGCTGTCAGTGGTTGCCATGGAGACAGTATCGGAGTTAGTGAGGGGCGGGGTATGTGGGAGTCCCTTGTGGCCCCTGAAGGACTGGACAGCCGCGCCCAGTCTAAGCAATGACCACTGGTTGGTCATATTTAAATAAACCCTTGTTAATATTCATTAGCAACAATTATACATTAAAGCTCATTGGTATCTTTTTTTTTTGATTCAGTGTTAAGTAGTTTGAATTTTTGATTGTTATTTTGATTTGTCATGAAATAATATGTGAATATTTATATTTAATTATTTAACATGACACTAAGTAGCTTCATCAATATATTATAAATATGGTTTAATTAAAGTTTAGCAGTTCATTATTATCAGGGTACACTGATCATAATGTTCATGTTTGTCTTTACAGTTACATGCGAACTCCAACACAGAGGTAAAAAACATGATGATGTCATTAACTCTAACATTACATTTTATTATTATATAATTTTCACATTTTACTATTATATAATTATTACATGTTGAAATAATAACTGTGTTGTAGCTTGACTTTTTCAGCCCGGCGACAGCAGAAGCAACGGGCCAATCACAGCGCTCGGAGTGTCCACCTACCCCGGCGACGGACCCTGCCCCTTCCCCCATGTCCAGCCAATGGACTGTCTGATCCGTTCCCTGCCAGCCAATCAGCAGCCAGCTCTGAGTTTCTCAGCACAAAAGGAGAGGTGGAGTTTTTAAAGTATTTCTTACATATTTGTTTTTCTTTTTTGTTTTTTCTTTTTTTTTACTTTTTCCAGTTTTTCAGTCGACACCTGACAGAGCTTCACTTCTTCTTTTCTCTCCTTTATTTTCATGTGTTCTGCTTAGCGTGGAAAACGAGTCTCACAGATTCGCATCCGCCGAGCACCGCCACGGGAAACGCCGCTCACACCAATGGGACTGCCAAAAGTCAAAAGGTCAAGAGTGGAGGGAGGGAAGCAAACAAAACCCAACAGAATAAAAACATCAGTGAAAATATTCAAATAAAATAAAAATGTTGTGTTTACATTGTCAGATTAAAGAAGAAAGAGTTCAGTCTGGAGGAGATTTACACCAACAAGAACTACAAATCCCCCACCACCAACAGGTAAAAACTACAAAACCCCACATGAAGACCATAGAAATAAACTGTCAAATCTGCTGCACAAACTAGACCTCCCAGCATGCCTTGCTGTCATCCTGCAGGAGTCTGGAGACGATTTTTGAAGAGCCGCGAGAGAAGGATGGAACGCTGCTTTTGATTGGTCAGCAAAGGAGGCGCAGGCTCCTCCTCTTCCCTGATTTCACTCAGCCCAGGAAGAGGAAGAGGCCACAGGGTATGCTGGGGTACATGATTCACAGTGGGGGGGGGTGTTGGAGATTTAAAGAACAGAATGTTTTTTTTAATTACCTTATATTTGTTTTTTAGGGGGGGGGCTTCCTGTTGCCATGGTGCCCAGGAAGCGGGCAGCGGCTCGGCGACATTGCCACGTCAATGGCTCCGGTGACGATGACGCAGACCTGGACGTGATGCTGGTGGAGCGACTGAGCGCGCTTGAAGACTTCCTTACACGGCAGGGCCTAGACGTGTGAGCTATGACCATCACTCTCTGTCAGCTGACTAAAGGCCAAATAAACACGAGCTGCTAGCACGCCTGCTAACCGCCTCGTTACCGCAGTGATGTCATCAGTCAGGCGGTCACGTGTAGCAGGTTTTTGTTTTTTCTTTCTTTTTTTTTTGCTGTGAACTTGATGTTTGTTTTTTCAGTTTTTCAGTTTTTTTTTTACAGTGTAGACTGTTTGAAATGTGAATTTTGGAATATTTAATATTTTAAAACATTTTTTACTGGTTGGATGATGTCAGGTAACACACACACACACACACACACACACTTCAGTGATGCTGTAGTACTCTGCAGTACTCACATAGTACAGTGTAGTACTGCGTCACTGGTGAATATTTTTAAAGTGTAATATATATTTCTGCTGAAATGTTTCTATTTTTTGAACAAATAAAGCTTGTTTCCAATCACTGATGTTTGTATCCTGATTATTATTGTTATTGTTGTTGTTGTTGTTGTTTTGCACACCCTATAAAAGTAATGTCTCGTTTAGCATCATATTTCCATTCAAACACCTGGGACTTAAATTAAGACTGAATGTTAAATTTCTTAAAAACACTTAAATATTAAGATGTTTTTGTTCAGTGGTAATTGTTGATTTTCAGAACAATAAGCAGCATTGATTGTTAATAAACACAGATCTATTTATTTATGCATCATTTATTTATTTTTACTTTGGTTGGACCTGGCAGAGCCCCTTCCTCACCGGTTCTCATGTCAGCCAATCACAGTGGAGGGAGATGTACCTGACAGACTAAACTCAGGGCAGAGATACAACCAAACAGGTCTATCCTGACGTACAACATCTTGACGTCAATTTCATTCCCGCCAGTGTAGGAGCTAGATGAGACCGATAGATGTCAGTAATGCAACTACCTGGATGCCAGCGGCCGTTAAACGTCATTGAAGAAGAACGTCATGCTGTCACATCCGCAAACAGAACATGGCGGCGGCCTTGCGGTGTGTGCGCAGCGGAGTGATTTACAGGTTTTTAACTTTATTTTTATTTTTTACTGAAAATATTACAGTATCGTCATGAGTCAGTGACGTGTTTCCTTTACCGTCGCGTGGCAGAATTGTAATGACTGTGACGTATTTGTCGTGTTAGCGACGCTGTGAAGAGACAGTTTGACCTGACCAGACTCTGGTTTAAATTTATATTTCATTGATATTTAATGGTGTCTAAAATCCAAACGCTGAGTTGAATGTATCGTCAGACAGGTGAGCAGTGTGTGAATAAGACGGATGTGAGATTCGGCTCCGGTCACACGAGCCAGGTCTCTCAGATTTACCCGTTTTCATAGTGTGAACAGGTAAATTTCACCTGAACGTGTCGCTGTCAGGAGCTTCGTCAGGACTGAACGTGTTGTTGTTTAACGTCTCTGTCCGGAGCTGCGAACACATTTTCACTTTATCATCAGTGTTTATTTGTTTCTGGTATTTATTGTGATTAGTATCAGTATGTGAGTTAAAGACCAAACTACTTGCGTCACTGTTGGTTTGATGATAAACAACCTAGAGCCTTTAGACTGGTAATGATACTGGTACTGGTACTGGTACTGGTACTGATATTGGTAATGGTACTTGTAATCATACTGATACTGGTTCTGACAGTGGACAGCACTCTTTCTTGTCAGACTGTTTCTAAATCACATGTACTGATATTGATCAGTTGATATCAGCTCATCTGTCAGACTCTGCTTCTCTTTACTTTAACTTCACTCTAATATTTAAATTGGAATCTTTAAGAAAAGCATATGTAATATTTCCATGTATTTAGAATATGTCAGAAATCTATATTTTACTTCTCAGACTTCACTGTTTGTTTTCATGTTGTTTACAGAGTTTTTCCTCTGAGCTGCAGCCAACAACGCAGCCTGAGCACAGGTGAGTATCTGCACCTCCTCATCTCCTCTAATTCTTCGTACTCCTCCTCTTCACCTCCTTTCAAACACTGATCATGTCCACCTCGTTAACATCTAATGTACCTTTGTTGTCTGTGAGACAAACTCCTGATTATTCATTGAAAGTATCGATTAATAGAAGGTTACCGTGGTGACACCATGAGAGGGATCAGTCGTTGTGTGTCAGTCATCTTACAGTTGTGTTACAGTCAGCTCTTTCTCTTCAGGTCGTGGCCTCTTGCCCCGCCCACGGCCCCTTCGCTTCCTGTTGGTGACAGGTGGTGGTTACCTTGGTTACCAGCATTACAGGAGGAGGAACCAAGAGGAAGATGGAGCCCCACCCCCTCTGGCCACGCCCACACAGGTAGGAGACAATAAACCTGCAGTTTCCTCTTCTTTTTCTTGCTCTTTGTTTTCCTTATCATTTTGTTTTCTTTCTTCTTTATTTCTCATTATGTACTTTCACCTTTCTTCTTCTGTCTCCTAACCCTAACCCTAATCCTAACCTCCTCTGATGTGTTCCACACTTTCACACTCTTCTCACTGATGACACACCAGGTGATGCACCAGGTCATGAACCAGGTGATGGAGAAGACCGCAGGATAGTGAACAGTGTTAAAAACATTGTCTTCTTCTTTTTCTCGTTCACACTGAAAATCAGCTGTTCGTCACTTTGACCACAGTGACAGCTGCTGACAGGTAGCCTGGACACCTGTGTGAACACCTGTGTGCTCAGGTGCGCAGAATTTAGATACCAGCGGCTCAAACAGCCCAGTCTGTCGGCTTTACCTGAGGTTTGTGCGGACTGGAGCAAAGATTCAGGACTGAGCTGGACTGACGTTTGTTCAGTGACATCACTCAGGTGTGAACCCTGCTGGTGGAATCAGCTGTTTTTCCCTTTGCTCTGAGGACAGACTAAGATTCATTCACTGGGTGAAAGGTGACAGTGATGTCACACTGACCGCGCTGCACCGACTCAGGCTCTGCCCCCTCTCCTCACTGCCCCACCTCCTGATTGGTCCATTCACTGAGGACATGGTCTGATTGGTCAATCAATAACCAGGAGGCTCTGATTGGACCAAAGATTGATTTTATTCCTTAGTTTATTTATTTACTTTGTCTTTATTTATCAGTAAATTAAAGTTCTCTGAATAATATATTATAAAACAATAAAAGTTCTATTTTCAGTCACATCTTGATCCTTACATTCATTATAATAAAATATGCTTAATAATTCAATGATAAATCATTTGATCTTTATAATAAAGTAATGAAAACATTATAAAATACAAATAAATTAGTCAAAATAAATAATAAATAATATTAAAGTTGATAAAATATAAAAACGTAATTATAATTATTTTATAAATAATTATAAATGAAATAAGTAAAATATTATCACAAAAGGTTTCTATCATGTAAATGTGAAATGTGAGGGAAAGGGAGAGGGGCGGGGCTCCGCAGTATTAATCCCTCCCCCTCTCTCCCTCCCGGTCAGTTCTTCTCTCCTCTCAGTGGACGAGCTCCCGTCTTTTCTTCTCTGGTTTAAACATCGTCAGGGTATTCACGTGAAACTGTCCGGATGTGTTTCCCACCGTCTCTCTCCCCGTCGGCGGACACGCGCTCATGGTGAGGTTCTTCTCCCGTCGCCCCGGAGACGGCGGCGGGCGGCGGTCGCGCGACCTGCTGCGGCAGGTGAGGCGACGTTGTCGCGCGACCGACGGTGGGAGAGAGAAAGACGGAGGAGGAGGAGGAGGAGGAGGAGGAGGAGGAGGAGGAAGGGGGGTGAGGACGAGAGCGACGGCACGATTCAGGTGGGAGAGGGAGGGAGGACTAAAGTATGTCAAAGAAAACGTTAAATTTTAAAATTAAACAATTAAAAATCTGACTGAGGGCTAGAGACCCTGAACACAACAGAGAGAGAGAGACAGGTGGCAGAACCAGGGGGCAAGTCACATTAGAATAAACAGAGAGGAGGGTGGAGGGGTTAGGTTAGAGCAGATTACTGTGTGTGTGTGTGTGTGTGTGTGTGTGTGTGTGTGTGTATTCCATGGCAACAGCTAGTTTAGCAGGTCAGCTATTTTAGCTTTAGCCTAGCTTAGCCTGTTTCCACTTGATCCTGTGCTAACCTGCTAACCCAGTTAGCTGCTCACATTTAGTCCGTCCTGGACCTGGTCCTCCTCCCTCCTCGTGTCTTTCTCCTCCTCTTCCTCCTCATCTCTTTCTCCCTCTCCTCCTCCTCTTCCTCCGCATTCTGCGTTAATGCTCCCTCCTCTCTTTCTCCTTTTCTCTATCTCTTTCCCTCTCTCCTCCTTCTCCTCCTCCTCTATCTCTCTTCTTCCTCTCCTCTCACTCCTACCTCCTCCTCTCTTCTCTCTTTCTCCATCATCTCGTTATATCTCCTCTCCTCCTCACCGTCCCTCCTCCTCTCTCTTTCTCACTCTTCTGCTCTCTCTTCTCCCATCTCCTCCTCACTTCCTCCACCTCCTCTTTAGCCTCCTCTCTCTCATCTTTTCCCTCTCCTGTCCTCCACCTTCCCCCCTCCTCCTCTCTTTTCTCATCCTCTCCTCTCATCTCTTTCTCCCTCTCCTCCTCACCTTCCTCCTCCTCCTTCTTCCTCCTCGATCTCCTTTCTCCCTCTCCTCCTCACCTTCCTCCTCCTCTTTCCTCCTCATCTCTTTCTTTCTCCCTCTCCCT